ACGTGGGCCTCTCACTGCTGGGGCCCCTCCCGTTGCGGAGCACAGGCTCCGGACACGCAGGCTCAGTGGCCGTGGCTCACGGGCCCAGCCGCTCCGCGGCATGTGGGATCTTCCCGGACCGGGGCACGAACCCGTGTCCCCTGCATCGGCAGGCGGACTCTCAACCACTGCGCCACCAGGGAAGCCCTCAACCCGTGTTCTTTGATTAGCTTGCACCCCCTTCGTCTCCCGCGTCCCAGAACCTGTTTGAATGCTGCTTCCCGAATGGGTGATGGCAGGGAAGGGAGAGGAATCTCAGGATGGAAACCAGCTGCGCCTGGGGTCGGCGGGGGACACCAGGGGACAGGAAAGGATAGAACACATGTGGAGGGGAGGGGCAGGGCTGCTCCCTGTTCCCCTCGGCAGCCGCGGGGGTGGGGCGGTTCCTGGGATCGTTGGGGCATATGGGCACCAGCAGGACACTCTCCCTCTCCGGCAACTTCTTCCACGTGGGGTAGGGTCTTGGGTGCTGGAATTTGCTTAAGTCGGTGATGCTCCAGGTGTGGTCCCCCGACCAGCATCCTCGGCATCACCCGAAAACCTATTCGAAATGCAGATTCCCAGCCTAACCCGGACCTGCCGAGTCAGACACCCTGGAGTCAAAAGCTCTTCCGGGATGCACGCTCAAGTTGAGAACTACTGGCTTAAGCAGGAAATTGGCAGAGGGCAGATGTAAGGACACAGAGGCGTCTTAGGAGATACTGAAACCAGGGACCAGATGCCGGCTAGCCTCCCTCTTGTCTCTGGCCTACTCATTCATTCATCCTCTCTCCCCCGCTCACTCTTGTTCTTGACTTTTGCTGTCCACTTCTAGAAGCCATAGTGGCCCCATAACTTTCAAGGGGAGACATTACAAGTTCCCATCAGAGGCGCCCCCTCCCTTATCCTCTTGCTGTCTGCTCTTCCTCTGCCAATTCCACATCCTGGAAAAGCCATTCTGGGGCTGAGAGACCTGGTTTCTCTCTCTCCTTTTGTACTGGTTTTATTCCCTTATACTCCCCCCTGTGCCTGCAAAGTGGCTGCTGCAGCTCCAGCTGTTACATCCTCTCAGCTCCAGATCCAGTGGAAAGCAAGGTTCCTGCCCCTGATGATTGCACTCATGTCCTGGGCCTGACTCTCACGTGCTGGGACTGGGCCTTGGGCAGCCTCTGAAACAATCACAGTGGCCAGGAGTGGGATATGCTGATCAGCTTGGACCCATCAGGGCCCTCCTCTGGATCCGATGGTGGGCTTGACCCCACAGAAACTGTAAAGGCTGAAGGACAAGACAGTGTGGCCTCAAAGGAACTTTGGGGGACTGTATATTACTGGAGGTGGAGTGTATGGATGCTGGGCAGAAAATAAAAGCAAACACTGAAGTATTGTTACTCATTTCTACTGGTGTAGTGTGTGAGGCCTGAAGAGGGCAAGTCCCAAGGTCACCCAGCTGGCTGGAGCTGCAGCAGCCATTATGTAGGCAAGAGGTGGGAGTTTGAACCATGAATGGAGGCAGCCTTGGGCAGGGGTTGGGGGGATGAGCCCTAATGCTGAGGGTGAGTCTCTGCTCTACATACAAACGTCTGTTCCAGGAATCCCCCCCCAGCAACGGGCCTTGGCATTTGGAATCTGTGTTGACTTTTCCCACATCTTTTATCAGAGGTGTGAATGGGAGTTGGGAGAGGCGTGGGCCCAGGCATCAGTGGCCCGCTGGGCAGAGCTGCTTCCTCATCCAGATCCTTGCTGAGGAAGGAGGTGCAGGGCTTATTAAGGGGGCCTGAGGGTAACAACTGCCATAGCACCAAGCCCTTGCTGGGGGCCACGCACGTCCCAGGCGTCACGTGTATTACCTCATTTAATCCTCGTGGCAACTCTTTGAAGCGCTTGGTCCTCGTCTCATTTACAGACGCGGAAAGTGAGGCTCAGAGCACCGAAGGCACTGTCCAGGGTCACTCAGCAGGTGACCAAGGTCCAAATCATGAGTGTCTGAGTCCCCGGCCAATCCAGTGGTCCCCCAAGGTGCTCCCTGGGAACATTCTTTCCCCACTCGGGCCATCCCTCTCCTGAAGCCGGAGAGAACCTTCTGGATCACAGCTCACAGGCCTTCCACCTCCTCCCCCTCTAGCCCCTGGCCCTCCCCTGTGAGCCGGTTCCCGGGACACCCTTCACTGCCACCCCCACATGCCCAGGCCCAGCGTGCTTTTGTTGGGGAACCCATTCAAATGACTCAAAGAGAAGACAGGTCAGGGTGCTGCCTGTATAATCAAGGAGAACTCGAGCCCCCGTGGGGACTGGCCCCTACCTCCCAGCCCTTCTCTGCACATCTGGTTCCCCACTCCCTCTCTCGGAATTGCTCTGTGTGCGAACTGACCGAAGCCGCTTCACTGCGCGCAGGTAAACACGGAGGGGGCCGAGTGCTGTCTATTCCCCTGACTCTCTCCCAGGACGTAACGAGAGTGAGGTGGGGACGGGTTCTGCCACGTGCATGGACGCTTATTAAAACGCCATTTCTAAGTCAGCAGCCCCGAGCGTTCCCACAGCCTGTCCCAGAGGCTCCATGATGTCCCAGCTCTCTGTCCCTTTAGGTGCTCCTTCATCACTCCAGGCAGACACGGCGGCATTCCCGAGGCAGGATCTGGTCACTCTGGACGCTGGCTCTAAAATGAGAGGTCCAGACTTTTCTCCAGCATCACTGACATGTTGCCAGGCCCACCGCTTGCCCTAAGGATACTTCGGGAAATTAGGGGAAAGTGCTCGTTCCCCCGGGCCTACGTGTTCCCCCTTCAGGGTCCCCAGCTTGGCAAAAGGAGTGTAAGGTAGATTTCCCCTGCCCCTCACTGCACAGCTGGGTGCCTCTGGGCTCCCCTGCTGGGCCGTGGCCCTGAGGGCCCTCACCCGCACGTGGCAGAGGCCCTGCCCCCTCCTGGAGGCTGCTCAGCCCGGACATAGCTTGGGATGTGTGGCCCGGGGCTGGCCCAGGAGTCTCCCTTGGCCGAGTGTTGGGGGGTTTGGGGAGAAGCACCTGCTTTTAGTGACCAGAGGTCAAGGGGACACCTGGGAGCGGGTTTTCCAGGGGCATGGGCTCTGGGGCGTTTGAGGTTTTGTTAGAAAGAGCAGACCTGGTTGTGAAAAATGGGATGTCACTTCTGGTCCGAGAGAGACAGCTGAGAAGAGAGGAAGCAGAAGGAAGGCCACTCTAGGTGCCACTCCGCGTCCCCCGCGACCGCTGCTTGTTTGTCCTTCCCAAGCCTGGCCTGCCCGGGTTCAGGTCCTGCCTCTGCTCCTCCCTGGCTGTGTAGCCCAGGGAGGTGACCTAACCTCTCTGGCGCCCAGCTTCCCCATCCGTATAAAGGGGATGAAAATAGTACAGACTGCACAGAGCTGTAAACATTGACTGCTGTAGCCTGGCGCCCAGCGCACGCCCAGCAGAAACCACCAGCGTTTTCAGTACTTACTGAGCGAATTAGGGAACATGAAATTGCGTTAAGTCATCAGTCAGCAGGGGCTTCCTCCATCCCCGACGCTGTTTTGGTACAGGGGCAGAGGTGTGCTGGTCAATGTTTCACAACCAGCTCTCTGAGGGAAAAAGCCCTCCTTTGTAGCATTTGCCCATTTCCGTGGTACAAATGCCACAGAATACCGGGGCCTGCTTCAGGCTACCACCGTGAGGTCACGGAACGTGGGTTTGGGAAGAGATGTGCACCACCGGCTCCCTCTCGTACACCGTTGTCCGGGGGACAAAGCAAGTAAGACTCAGTCCTTTTCCTCCAGGAACTGTGAAACTTTTGGGGGAGACAGACATGTGAGCAGGCCCCTGGAAGGGTGTCTGGTTAGTGCAGTAACAGAGTTTGCCATCGAGGATTATGGCAGCCGCCAACCCAGCCCGGGAAGGGTCAGGGAGGGCTGCCTGGAGGCAGTGGCACTTGGGGCTGAGGCTCAGCGGGAACCTGGAGTCACCCAGGTGGCGGTGGGGCAGAGCATTGGGGCGGGGGCTCAGGAGAAGCCAGAGCATGGAGGTGGGCGCGCATGCATGTTGGGGGTCATCAAAGAGGAGCCCAGGCTGGACGAGGGCAGGGCCGCAGGCTGGGCCTGGGCTTCATAGAGGCCCCAGGGCCCCGGTCCGGGACCTGGAGAAGCTTCGCGTCCACAGGGCCGGGTCCTTGGTTCTTAGCGAGCCCGCTGGCCTGCCAGTTTGTGTCCCTTTGAGCCCCACACGGAAGGTCAGAGTCTCATCCTGTGTCATCTTTCCTGTAGACGTTGCCCGACATGCTGCTCGTCAGACTGGTTCAGGAACGCCTGAGGGAAGAGGACTGCGTCAGGCGGGTGAGAAGCCCTGCGTGGAGCCAGCGGGGGCTCCGGGGAGAGGGGGCCTCCTTTACCAGATGAAGGAGACTGAGGGCCGTGTGTTTATGTCCCAGAGCAGAGATGACCTGCAGCAAAGGGTAAGAACCTAAACTCGGTGAAGGTCAGGCTGTACACGTGGATTTCACCTTGGATGGAGGAAAAATAACAAGGTGGCATCTGGGGAGCCCATCGGGGTTACTGTAGGAAAGAGCTGGCCCACCCCACGGGGTCACAGGAGAGGCTTTAATGGAAGGACAGCTGCAGAAGTGGGGAGGGAGGCGCCCCGGACCTGGAGGGGCAGAGGGAGGATTGGGGGGCCCCCGAACTCTCCTTCCATCCTCGGACCTCTCGCCAGCGCTCTCTTCCGCCAGACCCCGTGAAGCCAGAGGGCAGGGGTCCAGGTGAGGCCGTCCGTGGAGGTCAGCCTCCTGGGGCGTGGACGGGGGTTGTGATATTGTGATTTATAAGAGGAAATGTGTATTTGGTCTTCGTCCAATTTATCAGTTGTTTGGGAATTTTTTAGTATTCCATGTTAATTTTTCGCTTGTGTGTTTTACTGTTATCTCTTTGTAGGTGTTTTTGTTTTTCTGTTTTTTAGTGGATGACCTAACAATTACAATATAAAAACTTAGATTTCCACAGTCTACTTAGAGTTGATATTTTACCATTTCCGGCAGAATGGGCAATATTGGTCTCTTTCCTGTCTTCTCTTTATGTTGTAGTTGTCTTATGTTTTCATCTATATGCATCAAAAATCTCATCGGGCAAAAGTTATAATTTTCGGTCTCAATCATCAAACGTATTTTAAAAACTCGAGAGGAGAATAGTTTGTTATATTTATTCAGGTATTTACTATTGCTCTTGTTCCCCCTTCATTCCCGATGTTCCAAGTGTCCCTTTCGTCTGAAAAACTTTTTAGCAATTCTTCTAGGGTAGGTATGCCGGCAATTAATTCTCTTGCTTTTCCTTCCTCTGAGAATGTCTTTATTTTGCCTTCATTCCTGAAGGATAGTTTCTTCGGGATTCAGAATTCTAGACCGACAGTTTTTTCTTTCAGCACTTTGCAAAATGTTTCACTTTTAACACTGTGGTTTCTGGTGAAAATCCATAGTCATTCAAACTCATAAATAATGTGTCCTTTCTTTCTTGCCCCTTTCAAGATTGTTTTCTTTGTTTGTAATTTTCAGAAGTTTATGATATGTCTGGGCATGAATTTTTTGGGATTTATTCTTTGTGGGGCTCCTTGAATTTAAACGTTTATGTTTTTCTCCAAACTTGGGAAGCTTTCAGCCGTTGTTTCTTCAACTAAATTCCCACACCATTCTCTTTCTTCTCCCCTCCGAGGCTCCACTGGCATGAAGGTCAGGCCATTCGGTGTTCTCTCATGGGTCGCTGAAGCTCTATTGTTTTGTTCTGTTTTGTTTTGTTCTATCTTTTTTTCTCTCTGTTGATAAGATTGATAATTTGTATTGAACTAGCTTCAGGCTCATTAAATCTTTTCTCTCTCATCTCCAGGCTACTCTTGAGCCCGCCCAGTGAGCTTTTAATTTTGATTATTGTATTTTTCAGTTCTACACATTCCATTTGGTTCTTCTTTCTGTCTTCTGTTTCTTTGCCGAGGATTTCTATGTGTGCCTTTGTTCACAGGGAGCTTTGTCGTTGTCGTTGTTTCAGTAATAGCTGCTTCACTGTCTTGTCTGACAATTCCAGCCCTTGAGTCACGTTGGTAGTGGTGTCTAATGTCCCATCCCATGTGAGCTGAAGTTTCCTGGTTCTCCCTGTGCTAAGTAATTTTGTACCCTGAACATGCAAAATGTTGCCCTGAGACTCTGGGTCTTGCTTGAATCCTATGACGAATGTTGATATTTTCGTCTTAGCAGACAATTGATTCAGTTGGGCTCGGGTCGCAAGTTCTAACCGCCTTCTCTGGGCTGTGGTTTCCACCTCAGTTCTGTTCGCAAGCCCTTGCAGTGCTGTGTGGTTCTCTACAGCTCTGTGCTGTGTGGGTGCCACTCAGGGGGGCCTGGGCAGTGGTTGTGCTGTAGGTCATTTCTCAGGAAGGCTGGAAGGCTGTTCGGGGTCAGCCCCATGCGTGCACACCTCGGGGGTGAGGCGGGAGTCCATAAACGATGTCATTTGGTTGCTTTCCTGCGCTCCCCTCTTTGCTGTCTTCTTGGTGACCTCCAGTTTCCTGGTGTCCCCCTATTTGATCTTTTGGCCAGAAAGCTGGGCCTTTATCTACCTGGCTCTGTCACAGGCTTCCTGTGACAATGCTTGTGACCAGGGCCAAGTGGCGGGAGGACAGTGAGAGGAAAAATTCACGGGACTTTGCTGCATTTTCTAGGGACTGGGGAGGAAGGGTCCCCTGCGCTGTAAGAGTTTCAGGCCCCCGCAGGCCCCCTTTGTCAGGCAGGATGGCCTCAAGGCGGGAGTGCAGAAAAACAGAAAAGAAAAGAAAACACAGGGAGATTTCCCCTGCTCTCTCTGTGTTGGGAGTTCCATTTCTTTTTAAATTTTATTTATTTATTTATTTTTGGCTGTGTTGGGTCTTCGTTTCTGTGCGAGGGCTTTCTCTAGTTGTGGCGAGTGGGGGCCACTCTTCATCGCAGTGCGCGGGCCTCTCGCTGTTGCGGCCTCTCTTGTTGGGAGCACAGGCTCCAGACGTGCGGGCTCAGTAGTTGTGGCTCACGGGCCCAGTTGCTCCACGGCATGTGGGATCCTCCCAGACCAGGGCTCGAACCCGTGTCCCCTGCATCGGCGGGCGGATTCTCAACCACTGCGCCACCAGGGAAGCCCGGGAGTCCCCTTTCTTACTTCTAGAGCCAGAAATAGGGGCTCCTGGCCCCGTCTCTGTCCCTCCCTATTGCCCATCTCAGGTCTCAGGCTGCCTGGAGAGACCAGCTCGGGGACGCCGGCTTGCAGGGATCTTGAACTTTGATCTTCTTCCCCAGTTCACCTACTACTGTATTGATACTCCCTGAGTCCTCAGATGCCCGCCCTTTGCGTTCTGTCCGTGCATCGTAGCTGCTTTCAGTGGGGCTGACAGGTTACAGCGGGCGTACTCTGTCTTGCCCAGAACCGGAACTCGTGGGCGCACACACACAGACACATACATACACTCTCTTGCTCAAAAATTGATTGAGAGGCCCACATCTGGAAAGATGCCTGGGCACCTTCCCAGGGCACTGGTGAAGGAGGAGCAGTTCTCACAGGCTTGCTCTGCATGGTCCTCAGCCGCGTGGGTCTAAATCACGAGAGAGCCTCAAGTAAGCTGCAGTCTGAGTTTCAAAGCCTGGTCTGAACAGCCTGTTTTCCTCTGACTTCAAATTGTTCCCGGCGAGCTGATTGTCTCTTACTGCCCAGGCCTAGGCAAGCGCCCAGAGCTCAGAGGCCAGTCTACATCGGGGGTAGACACATTCTTTTCTGTCCAGGCTAGATAGTAAATATTTTAGGCTTTGCAGACCGTACAGTCTTTGTTGCAATTTCTCGATTCTGATGTAATGTGAAAGCAGCCATACATGATAGATAAATGAAAGGGCATGGTTTGTTCCAGTAAAACTTTATTTATAAAAACTGGCAGCAGGCTGTAGTTTGCTAACCCTTGTCCTAAATGATACTTTCACACGATGATAAAAACAATTCTACCCTTTCTCTTCAGTTCTAAATAAAAAACAGACCTCCACCTTCCAGCAATGTTAGGAGAAAGGCCACTTAACCACAGACTTTGGTTGTAACCAAGTTCCCTCCTAGTGACCCGGCTCCCAAGCCCCCCGGCTCGATTCCACCCACTCCAGTCAAGTGCCCTCTGTAGGCACGGCATTGTCCATCCTGCTGGGACCCTGCCCCCTGCCCCCACTCACCCTTCTCAATTCCCCATGAGCAGGGTGGTACCCTGGGCCCCAGGCTCACCACATGCAGTTGGAGACAGAGCCTCACGTGCCCAAAACAAAGCCGACTGGGAAGGCTTGTGATGGGGCCACAAACACAGTGTGAAGGGAAACCAGGCCCAGGGGAGTCGAGTTGTCACCGAAGCCTCTCGAGATGGGGGCGGGGCAGTCTGCGGAGAGGCTGTCTCGGGCAGAGGGGCCGGCAGGCAGACAAGGCAGGACTGGGAATATAGCTCCCCCGACCCCTACCGCTGCCTTAGTTCAACCAACCTCAGACCAACTCTTCCTAAAACTGACCCACCCATCGGTCACCCTCTTATCTGGGAAATGGTGAAAGAATCGTTTGTCAGGAGTGAAGGGGAGGGCAGAGCACCCTAAGTGACTGGAAACGGGACGGGACTTTCTCGTACAAAACACTCTTTGCCTTAATCCGTAATTGGTTATGACTTGCCGAGTCTAATTCAACTCTGGCCTTGCGGATCCCCAGGCAGGAAGCGTTTGGGTCTGCCTTTCGTCTCTTTGCTCTTCAGAGCTGAGCTGTTTCTCCTCTTCACCAGCACTGCTTGTCACATGGTGGGTGTCACTCCTTTGGTATGAGTGCACCCAAGTCACCCAGACCGGAACCCCTCAGCGGGATGGGGGCTGTATTTTTTTTTTAATTAATTAATTAATTAATTTTTGGCTGCACTGGGTCTTCGTTGCTGCACTCAGGCCTTCTTTAGTTGGGTTGAGCGGGGGCTACTCTTTGTTGCGGTGCGCGGGCTTCTCATTGCGGTGGCTTCTCTTGTGTGGAGCACGGGCTCTAGGCGTGCGGGTTTCAGTAGTTGTGGCATGCGGGCTCAGTAGTTGTGGCTTGCGGGCTCTAGAGCACGGGCTCAGTCGTTGTGGCGCACAGGCTTAGTTGCTCCGTGGCATGTGGGATCTTCCCGGACTGGGACACGAACCCGCGTCCCCTGCATTGGCAGGCGGACTCTCAACCACTGCGCCACCAGGGAAGCCCTGATTATTTAAAATTTTTTTTAACCTCTGTAAGTCACTGAGTCGTGGTTTCTGGGGAAAATAGGATGACTTTCTCTGTGATTTCAACTGGAC